CTGAACCTTGCCATCACTGTCATGGGCATGTCAACATTATTGACTCTTATTCTTACATAAAATATCATTATTCAACTGCTCCTGAGAGTCTGTCCTTACTGGGGGACAGAAAGGGAAATCCACAGAGGCAGATGGAGCTCCTCCTGCCTCTGGGACCTTTGATCTCTGCTTTTCACTGGAACTTTGGTCTGCAGTGATTAGACCGAGAATCAAGAAGGAAGAAAGGGCCTCGGGAAAGATAAAAGAAGCCCACACAAACACACCTTCACATCGGGGCCGGGGCCGGCTCCACATTCCCCCAGCAGTACAGAAAATAGAGGCGTTCCCAACGAGGGAGTAGCCATCGCTGCAGGTGTACTGCACCGCCGAGCCCGGGAGGTGGATGTCTGAGGACTGGCCACTGTGCTCCCCGTTGGCAATGCCTGGAGGGGGAGGACACTTCACCTCTGCGAAGGAGAAGGAAAGGCAAATAAGAAATATGTGCAGGGCAAGAAAAAAAAAATCCAACCTTCAAAAACCAAAGGAGGAAGAAATTAATTCCATTAACTCCTTTGAATAAATTCCATTAACTCCTTTGAATAAATATCTGCCAAGTTAGCTGTCTGTCATCCTACCAGTGAGCATAGCCCTCACCACACCCACAGTCATTCCTTCTGCCACTCACAACCAGATCTCACTGGCATGGACAGATGGATGGACAGACAGACGGACGCCCACGCACGGCAGAGCCCTACCTTCACACCGTGGTGGTGGCCCGCTCCACACCCCGTGCTCCCCGTCCAACGTGGTGCAGAAGATGGAGGGCTCTCCCGCCAGCATGTGGCTGGGGTCACAGGTGTAGGTGACCACATCCGCGTAGGAGAAGGTGTCCCTTGAGTGTCCGCTGTGTCTCCCATGGGGGACGTCCGGAGGTGGATCACAGATGATACCTGTGGGCACGTACAAGGTGGCTTTTAGCATCAGGGCTCTGCAGGACACACACACTTCCCAGGAAGGGAACTGATGGGTATGAACCCATCTCTGTGGTGATGCTCTCTGGATACAATGACCCAAATTATCCAGAGACAAACCTTGTGTGGAAAAAAACTCTCAGGTGGGAAGGAAAAACCTGTGCCCTCCTGTGAGTCACTTCCTTGCTGCTCACATCTGGAGGTGGTGGGACAATTCTTACCCCCCTTTCCATAACCATTGGTGAGACATGCAGAGAGAGACTGGCCACACCATTCCTACACTTGACCACTGAGAAATACTTACTCAGTAATGGAGAGTTTAAAATAGTAATAATTTCCCCAGTTTGGACCAGGATAAATAAAAGACCTTTGGAAACATTTTCAGAAGCATTCAAAACAAAACGAAAAGAAAAAGGAGAGATTTTACACATACAGTGACTTGAGAAATCTTTTGCAATAAAATCTTTGTCTTGAAAGATGTGCCACTTTCTCTTGCAAGCCACTTCCAAGGAATTTTGTTGTGGCTACTTACGCTGGCAGACAGGAGCATCTCCACTCCACGAGACACGTGTGCCAGAGACCTCGCATGTTCTCTGAGAGCCTCCAACCAACTTGTACCTGGAGCCACACAGAAGGATTTATTAATTTACATTAAGAGACTTGAGATTTCTTTACAACCCTTGGAAGTGGCAACCAAGACTTCTGACTTGGGAACTTGGTTCCTTCATGTAAAGCTGAAAATCTGCTTTACTCTCAGCTTGGCAGCTGAACTCAGCTAGTCACAAGACTCACCCTTTGTCACAAGTGTAATTGATTTTGGACCCGAAGAGGAGGTCTGTCAGGACAACAGCTCTGCCATTCTCCGGATCCCCTGGGTTGGGACATTGTTTCCCTGGAAGGGAACACCAGGCACCGTTAGCCCTCAGCTGCTCACTCACATCCCACCCGGGGATGCTGACACAGGGAGACAACCACATAAAATAAAGAAACCCCTAAAGCCAGAAAAATGTGAAAATCCAGCCAAGCCCAACACTTCAGTGTTTTTTAGCACTTGCAGGACGTACTTTTACAGAACTCCAGTGCTGGAGACCACGTCTGGTTCCCAAGGCAGGTGATGGCCCGTGGCATCCCCAGGTGCTGGGCGTACCCAGGCCGGCAGACGTATTCCACCGTCCTCCCCACGGGAAAGACCGTCTGGTTGCTGTACGGCTCCTTCAGCTCAGCAAACACCAGTCTGGGAGGTGCACTGCAGCCAGCTACTGAGAAAGATAAACCAGCCCAGTTGTTAAAGGAGTCAAAAAAAAAGCAGATTTGGGAGGGCAGGGGGAAGATTAACACTCAGAGAGCTGTTGGAACACTTGCCCTGCTTGCAGACTGGCACGGGTGGCTCCCAGGTGTTATTCAGTTGGCATTGGATCACTTTGTGGCCATGTAGAACATAGCCTGGCTCACACTCAAAGGTAACCGTGTCCTTGTGTGTGTAGGCAGTCCTAGGAGACACTATTCTCCCATTGTGGACCTGGGGGACAGGACATCTTGCCTCTGAAAAAGAAGTGCAGGTCCTCAAAACAGGCACTTACGCAGCGTGCAGAGCTGTGCAGCTGCAGAGCCACTTGGAGTTGCAATCCTTGTTTAGACACAAGTCTGAAAATACTTTTCCCACAGATGATGTACTGCCCTCATCCAGCAATGCCAAACATCGAGAGACAGCCCTGAGCTGAAAGGTGAGGCTGGAGGGATGCTGGAGGCAGTGGGATGGTCCTCCAGCCTCCTCCTCTCAGCTGGAAAAACAGCCGGTGCAAATCCTGCCCTAGCAGGTACTCAGGGTAAGAAGTACAATTTTCTGGAGGTTTCCCAATCTTTCTGAATACAAAGCGCTAGGGCTGGGAGGATTGCACCCCAATATTTGCACGTGCACCCACAATCCTACCTCCGCACTGCGGCGGGGGGCCGCTCCACACGCCGTTTTCCCCGTCCCAGGTGGTGCAGTGGATGGAGGGCTCTCCGTGGAGGGGGTACCCGGGGTTGCAGGTGTATGTTACTGATGTACCGAAGTGGAATTCATCCAGCAGCCTGCCCGTGTGCTTCCCATTGGGAATATCCGGAGGTGGCTTACAAGGGATACCTGCAAAGGTGCAGAACGAGGCTTCTAAATTCAACAACAGCACCAAAGTACTTGAAATCCCTCAGTCTGTGGGGCACAAACACTTGTCCTGGAGATGCGGTAGCTGCAATGAAGTGACCTTCTAGGTGAAACCTTGTAGGCAACTGGATCCCATCTCCCTGGGCCAGCAATTTCCATGACAGAAAGCAGACTAGTAAGACAAACCTTTATGGAGGAAATATCTACATGGTTTTTCTCCTGTTTAAGAAATAAAAAAGCAACTATTTCTATTGTATTGCCTGTGTAAAAACCTGCTTTTTCAGCTGCACAGAGCACAAAGGCATGCACAGGCAGCAAGCTGTGTGTCATCTCAGGTTAATATGTACCTGGAGAATCTGTAAAATGCTTTAAAATCCCAGAATGTGCCAATAAATGTTTCTTTCTTCATATGAAACTGTCGCCTAATCCGCAACAACACTTAATCAGCAGAGAAACCCTCAGGTGCGCTCGCTGAGGTGCAGCACGGCAGCTCTTTGGGTTCACACCAATTATCTGTGCTCGGAGTGAAGGAGAGAGCCCACGATTTGGGACTCTGGGATTCCACTTCTGGCCCTCCCACAGTGCTCTGCCTCTCCTTGGGGCTGTGCCTTGGGCTCTCTGTGTCTCACAGTAACAACCCTTAAGCTGAAGACAGTATTTTCCCT